TGGGTGGGTAAATGCTCAGAGATATTAGCTGCATAAGCTACTCTAAAATCCGATGGTAAATAAAGTATGATGATGATGATTATGACGATGATGATGATGATGATAACATGAAGAAACCAGCCACGTGAAAGATGCAAATCTATTACGTGATTTACAATGATAATTGGATATCCTGTGACTTGTTTCATGATATGTTGACATGCAAGTCAATCCAGTATAACAAGACTTGTCTATGCGTCATTAATACAGTTAACATAGAAAAAACTTTTGCGCCCAATAACTTTGCACGGAAACAAAATTTTTTATGGACTATTTTTTCAAAAGAAAGCTTTTGTAGGGCTCTATCCGATCCTTACAAAATCTCAAATTTTGTAAAATTGCACTTTTCAACGCTGCCTGATACCTTAACAGAGGAGTTGGACAAGGCTGTCCCTTGTCACCGTATTTGTTTACTCTTTCAGTAGAAATACTAGCGGACGCTTTTCGCTAAAAGAAAAAAATTCGTGGTATATCTTTAAAAGAGATTAAATTGAGCCAATATGCGGATGACATAACCCTTTTTTTAGCCCGTATTGGCATTCCTTGGATCAGTGATGTCTTTGGCGACGTTATCATATTTAATCACACGGGTTATTTTAGACGGTTCCGAAGAATCACTACTATAAGCTTTGAACATGATAGAAAGTTTCGGCTCATTGGCTTCAGCTGACTGCTATACTGTAATGCCATATAGAGTAAGTTGATGGTTTCAGATAATGTCAACAGCATTTCCGTGACTATCAGTGGACATGAAACAAACAAATTGATAGTTGCCCATATTGGCATTCCTTGGATCAGTGATGTCTTTGGCGACGTTATCATATTTTATCACACGGGTTCGGTCGCGTTTATGAGACCATTTGCGTCGCTATAGGCAGTACCAGTGGTAATTCGTACCTAACCGAAAAGACAGAACGAATGAACGGAACGTGACTGTCACTGCAATGGGAGGAAAGAATTGCCTTAAGCTTATGTACCGTCTTAAAGTACACGAGAAACTTGGGAATAAAAGAAAAATTAGAGGATATATAAAAATCACTAGCTTTGACGTCATAATGATGAATTTTCTGTCCAAATCAAGCATGGAAATTTGCTCCTCTCTGTGAGTCTTTATTGGCGTGTCTTCCTTTCTAGTGGCTGAACATTGTATACTTGTCTACCTGTCTGTTACTCTGACAGTCAGATGTCACTCTGTGTTACACTCTACTCAATCTCGCACAGGAACTACTACAAAACTACAATGACAACACGTTTTCTCATC